AGAAAAATCGGCAGCTTTTCAAAGTTTTCTCGAAAATTTAGTCAGACTCGGAATTTTCTTCACTATCAGATAACATATTCTGGACAGCTTCTATAGATTCAGTTACATGTTTTAAAACATTTTCCATGACAAAAATTCAATACAATAAATTTCTTGAAAACTATTGGTATTAAGATTTGGGCTGATCGTAATGAAACAGTTTTATTAGTGCTGTCTCTTTTTAGTGCAAACTCGTAACGTCGTCATTAATTAGGTACGGTTTTAGGGAGAGTATCTACCTAAACCGCACCCCTCATTGGCAAAAAAGCAACAGGTGGATATTTTAACTAATTCCTTTCCACACAATAACTTATCGAAGGTGGCAAAAATAACTAAGCAAAATAATTACGTTAATGAAAATATCGATTTTGTTTTGATTTTTCACTTCATTAATTTGTTATGTATTGCCAAGAGTAACCAGTAAATTTATAAAGTTGAACCTAACAACTATTATTCACTCACTTTTTATTTAATACCCAAGAGGATGAGAAAACCGACCTCCTCGATTAGAGGAAAAGGAAATTATTCCTATAGCAGAGTGAGAATTAATACGTGTGAAAAACTGGCAAGTAATCACAAATTTAGGAACTGGAAGATGGTGAACTGTTTATTCGGATATGTCAAAAAATCTGACAAATATAATTAGTATGTTTAAAAGACTAATAAATTTTTATCAACGTAATCGTGATCCATTCTATATGTTTTTATAAAATTGAAAATATACAATTTACAAAGAATAGACATACTTATATGAGAACAAACTCTTAACGTTTAAACAATTAAAAAAGTGAAAATTTACTGTTACTTTCATAATATAATAACTTATTGTTATTTCCTATTGTCTTTCAAAAATATTAAACAACATCCTGTAGTTAATAATGCATTAATTATGATTGTAGGTATCTAGGAAATATTTATTTTATCTATCATAGGTATGCAAATGATATTTCTCATTCAAAACATACCTACCCAATAATTTTAATATTCGTTATAGATAGAACGATCAGAGCCGGTCTTTGTTTGGCCTTTATTTCAATTTGTTAAAATAGAGAAAGAAATAGGAAGCTAATGCTATACACCGTAGTCTTCTCAATTCTAGGGCATAAGGATAAGACGAGAAGTTGATTAAATAAAAATTATTAATTAGTATGATCCAAATGATTTAGATTAGGAATGTGGTCTGAGAACCCTTCTCTGGCCTCGGCCATTGTAAACTTTTGCTCTTTTTTTAGAAGACTTCTCTATCTAGAAAGTATCCCTTATGTCTAACCATGAGCTTCGTTTGGGGGGGGGGGGGGCTTAATCAACAACGCGTAAGATACGCATTACGGACAACAATCTCATAGAAATAATATTCAGGCTAATATAATTGAAGAATATTATAGGTTGAATATATTTATTGCATATCTGGATTCCCTTATTATGTCGCTTAGATATCGCTTTTCCGAAAACTCTAGTGTTAATAAAAAATAATACTTTTTTCACTACCGATCAGAAAAAAAAAATTGGAATCGACAATTTTGAAGCTGAATACCAAACGTGGATAGCTAACTGGCGTACGAAAGAGCTTTCTGCACACAATATGCTCTCCATTATTGAAATAGCTTCCAAAAATTGTGAATTTTATCCAGACATATAGAGCTTTAAAAATATTTATGGCTCTTCCACCAACGACAGCGTCAATCGGAAGAACCCTAAGGCATGTTAAAACATGGCTGCGATCTATTCGCTCAGTTCGAAGTCATGGTAGGGGAATCAAAAGCGATACTAGCGCAAGCTCCGGATAATTCGAGTACTCTAGGGCGATATTTTGTAATTTTGGCGTATCAAATACACGTATACATTTTTATTTTTTCTTAAAAAATGGGTAAAAACAATAAAATGAGCAATGTTGTAAATTGCAAAAATATCAGCAAAAAACTGTAAATTATATAAATTTTCAGTAGCAAAATGGAAATTACATCAAAGAAATAAATAGATAGCTGAATAATAGAAAGAAAAACTTTATTTTTGTAATAATAACAGTAATACTGGAAATAATGGACATCAGAAAATTGAAAGGTTTTAAATAATAAATTATTATTTATGATGTTCTTCAATATTCCTTTAATCTTAAATGTTTAGCAAGAAATAGATTTCTGACTTTGATTATTATATATGGCTGAAATTTAATCCTGTGACTTATTGATAGGAAACCAGTTCTATTCATTAATTCCTTATTATATAATGGTAATGTTTTTAATTTGACATTATTTAACCTATTTTTCAATGACAACTTATTAAGCTTAGGCAACATCTCTTATATTTTCTCATAAATACTTGCCTGTTTTATTATTGATTATACTACTTTTTTTATGACTACAATGAAGTTGTCAAGAAAAATGCCACCTAAAGAAATTGAAATGAGTTTCGTGAAAATTGTCAAAAGGTTGATATTAAAAATAATAAAAGTGGGTTGCTACCACTATGCAATCAAAGTCAAGTTATGGCGGGACTTTTAAATTATTAGACAACAAATTATTACCTTTTTTTCACTTGTTTTACAAATCCATATAATTTTATTAAAATCAACATATATATTTTTAATTACGAATTCTATTAAAAATTGTATTGTCAGTATACGCAAATATCGTCCGTTAGTTGATAAAATAGTTGGCGCTGACGTACGGAGCGAATAATACATTAAAATAGGCTGACTGGACTATGCATGATGAGCGTAGGTACATCGAAAAATAATCGGAGAAACCAAATAAAGAAATTATGTTTTCTGTTATCGATGTTTTTGGTAGAGAAAAAAGAAATTAAAAATTTGCGTTTTCCTAGTGTTTTTTTTTGTTTTTTTGTTTTTATAAATTTTTATTTTTTATTATTATGTATAGTTGTGTCTTGTTTTTATTTTTCTTTTATATCACACCTTCTGTTTGTTTTTTAAAAATGTGTTTTAAGTTTCTTGTTTTTTTTTTTAGTTTTGCCTTTTTTGTTGGGTTATTTTATTTATTAGAAACTTGTTAATTTGTATTGCTCTTTTATTTTTCATTTTCCAACAAATAAACATTCTATTTTTTTAATGGTGCCCCTCCCTATAGAATTGTGTAACGACGCCCATGTGTCTAGCTACTGCTGTTGTATTTTTCTCTCCAAGTATTTGGAATTTCGGTATTGATAAACCTAATGTAGTACGTGTTTTGCCGATGTTTTGCAATTTCTTCCTCTTCTTGAGAAAAATGCTACAATATTTCTTCTACCAAGTCGATGGTATTATATTGCCCCGTTAATGGACCTCCTAGTGTACTCTTGGTGAATTTTGGCGAATATTCCATAATTACTTATAGTGGATTTTATTTGTTCCACTAGGTGTAAGTTTGTGCACTAATCGTATTTGACGAGGTATTTGATTTGTTCAGTGGCTCCAAATATTTGACACATACTTGAGTGTAGCATCACAAAACTGAAATTAGGAGAATGGATTTGACAGTTTACAAAAACGTTCCTACAAGGTATGGAGGGTAGAAAAAAGGAGGACAATCTTTATATTAAAAAGTGGCCACCAAAATGTATACAATTAAGATGGCGCTCGTGTAGCCAGGGGACAAAATCCAATGCTATATAGTCATATAGATTGCTCATTCATAAGAATTATTTATTGTTTATATTATTATTTTTCAATAAAATTTGACTATTGTCGTGTATTGTCAAAATTTATCTACGATCACAGAACACTTACTCTTCTACGACCAGTCACTTTTCACGGTGTAGTTTTTAGTTTTTTATGGTTGAGCAATATTTATTACTATATACATCATTGGTGTCATTGTGTGATCTGAATTATCGACTGTCGACGTCCCCTGGGCACAGAAGCGCCATCTTAATTGTATACATTTTGAGGGACACTTTTTGTATACAGAGATTGTTCTCCTTTCCTCTACCCTCCATACTACAAGGGGAATAAAATTGAGTTTGTTTTTGAGTTTGCGCAGTAGGTGCCAAACAAGGTCATAATTTGAAAAAAAAAAAATATATATATAACAATGTTTTCATAAAAAAGTTAACGGCGGGTTGTACAATACGCGGTTAATAGTCCCAAAAAATTTTTTTAAATGAATAAAAGTAACATTTATTTTCAAATAACTTTCACAAATGACAATTGACATGTCTGACAGATAGCCATTGCGCAAACTCACACCTTAATTTTGAATCTCCTTAACGGAACGTAAATTTTGAGCAAGAATTGATATCAAACCCATCCTCTTAATTTCAGTTCTGTGTGTAGCATATACTTTTGACAAGTATGACAGTTCAAATACAGTGTCGAGTGTGACACTATTGCAACAAGTAAAATCCATTATTACTGACATTTATCTAATTTATTTTTTTGTGTATATTCTAACGGTGGTCTTTACGAGACCACAAAAAATTCACTACTCTTGTGTCCTGGTATTCAGGCTAAGAAAAGTTTTAAGAATACCTAACTTTATTCAAATTAATCCCATCTTAGTTTTAAGATGTTGAATTAATTGATTTAAACGTCACTTTACTGTCGGAGCAATTAAAATAGTATTACCGATGATATATTGCCCTAATAAAGCCAAAACAAAAAGTATTAGCATTTAAAAAGATATGAATTAAAAATCGATCACAAATATCATAATCTTATTTTCATCAGGGCTTAATTAACCTGTATAAGCAACATTATGTGTACAAGTTGAATAATAAACAAACAAATCTAAAATCTACAACTTAAAGTAATCTAAATTGGGAGGCTACCATAAAAGCAGATGGGCTTAAGCCCGCCTCTGTTAAACACACAATGGAAGGACTGTTATAAATACTTAGGTAGTACCTTGAGGCACCCTTTCCTTTTAACAATAAAGAATGCAACCACCATGACGGATGCCCTAGATTGTCACCGATTCAACAAAACAGGTAGTGAAAGTGATTAAAATAATAAATAGATTACTTACGTTTATTTATCTGTTGAATGTCACCCTTAAATGAAGATTATATGCATCTGTTGGATTGAAAGAGGGTAGCACATCCCAGTGCGTGCGCGTTCGAGAGAGACGCAAACAACAACAAAGCAAGCGGTCCGGCTAGTGCATCGCGTCGTCAAGGCTGCATTGATTGTAAATGCGTTGTGTTCCGTAATATTCGCTTCCTTACCAAACTCCAAACTTGTGTTATATCGATTTGAAACAACAGGTAAATCGTTTAAATGCAACCGAACACGCACGTTGACACACTTGCTGGCTTTTCCGGAGACACTGTATGTAGTAATACAGTTAGTTTTGGAATATTTGTGGAGAAAGGTTGCGAGAAACTGCAGACATTACACCGCGGCGCAAAAGAGTGCTGAAGGATGGATGGATTCGTGAATGTTGTGTCTGTTCTGTTCGTCGGCTGAGCCGGAGCCAGTCAGCGGTGGGATTGCGTTAACTCGACATAGGAATTCGAATGGGGGAAGGAACGGTGGTAAATTGGACGAATTAAATATTAATGGAGATGGGCTGATAAACGTAATGATAATAATGATAGCGGTCTTATGTAATGTGATGTTAAATGTTGCCCGTATATACATTTCGCATCACTAAGTCTGATTACTCATGCAGATAATAAGAGTAATAGCAAAACACGAAATTTCCGAAGAAATTTCTTTCCTGTTAACTATTAAATTATATACCTTAAATATTACTTATTATTTCAATATAACCTAATTTTACTGTACCTGTCTATAAAATGTTAGATACTCCACAATAAACCATCTGTAAAGGCCCATTATCCTCCAGGGTATCTGTAATAGTTTTTACAAAACATACCAGATATTCCTTAGACAAAAATAAGCATATTTAAGTAAATTTATCATAGTAGAAACAATAATTGCACATTTAAAATTTCTATGCCAATGAAAGAAGGTTAATTTGAGTATACCCAGATAGCACACGATGTCCATTGGACGTCCATATTTTGTCCAAATAATGTCCTGGATGTCCATGAACTTCATATGGATATTCATTGGACATCCGTTTTCCGTTATCCAATGGATATACCCATTCAGAAGTCCAATGACTGTCCAAAATATGTCCATGATGGACAATATAAAAATGACTAACTTATAATAAATTATTATAATTCTTCTTGTATAATTTAATTATTTACTACTAGGTTTTAATTAAAATAAATCAAATAATTTTCCCCTCCTCTCGCCTTTGTTGACAAGATAGAAAAGTAAAAGGCCACTCAGGCCAGACTCGAAGAAGAAAAGAAGAAAGAGGTTAAGAAGAAAACACAGCACATGGATGTTTATCTGGTAAGAAAATAAGTATAATTAATAATTAAATATCATTTAAAAATCCAAAAATTAAAAAGGAAATCGTTTGTTTTAAACTAATGTTTTCGATTTACATTCAAACAATCCCTTTCTTTTAGACATTTTGTCAAATGATGTACCTACCTATTTAAGAAAATGGCTTTACTTAAAGCTAAATAATATGCTGCAAATTCGAGATGATGTCAACACAATTATTATTGTAACTAAGAGGTGAGAAAACTTTCAAAGCAGAAGAAAAGTTTCTATTTGTACTGCATGAGACGTTAGCAGAAGTAGAAGGCTATTTAGAAGATACAAATATTTTTAAAGAAGCTGTAAGTTTTACTTTTATTAAATAAAATAGAATCGTTTTGTAACGTTTAAGAAATAATGCATTGAAAGATGTTTCATAAGTTATTTCTCTTTTATGTTTACAAATACATATTTTTATTGCAATTTTAGATTCAGCAGTTACCAAAACCAGGGACAAGGACATGACAAACATATAAAAAGATGGTTCGTTTCCATAATTTCTAATACCCTCACGAAAGAATTCACATAATATGATGGCATGAAAGTAAAATGGTAATTTAAAGAAACAATGAGCAGTTTTTTGTTTATATGTAAGTATAAGGGTAAAGTACATTAGTCAATGCATATTTTCATATTAGCTAATAATATTTTATCTAAAAATTTTACATTTTTAACTATCACTTTTGCCTGATCAGGCGTTTATTAAACGATTGATTTAAGACTCAATATTCGTATAAAATGTAATGTCTTTTTTTAGCTGCTGCTGAGAGTGACAATGGTGCTGCTTAAAAAGTAAGCGAAATAGCCTTAAGAAAATGGCTGAGAAGGTCAACAGAAAGGAGTGCGTATAAAACTAATACATGCTTGATATTATTTATGACAATAAAAATAAGTCCATAGTTGCAATTATTTTATTTCATATTAATATAGGTGGTGATGTCCGTCAGATGTCCATAAATTGTCCAAAAGCAATACAAAAAGAGTCCATATATGGACCTTTCATGGAGTCCAAATGGACGTCCAGGAGTGGGACATTTGTATAGTCCAGTGGATGTCCATTGGATGTCCTTCGGTAAAATGCTAGACGTCCATTGGACAGCCGATATGTCCATGAATGGACTTCCGATGGACATCCAATGGATTGATTTGTGCTGTCTGGGTAAAAGGAACCCGCAACTACTTTTTGGCAAATGGCTTTCGGTAGAATCTGCTGAATTTTACATGTAGCAGTTTTTGACCTTCTTATTAAAGTGTCCATAGGCACAAATTTCTCCTACGACTAGTTTTTGAGAAACAAGGTGTTGAACTTGTGAAATTTTTAAAAATACGTAAACATTGTCAATTTAATAATATTAATAAATATTAAAAGTTACGGTTTTATTTGTGACTACCAACCTTTTTAAAAAACACCCCAGCTAGCACATAACGTTGCCAGGCCTTTCAACGATGTTGTTTTAAGGGAACTTTGCTATACAACGTAAATGCAATGTTCATGAAAATTTATTAAGGGAAATCAAAACCTAGCAAAACTTCTATTTGTTACTTACCTATTTAACCTACCTGTTATGATAACACAATGTAATAAAGTAATTTGGCAAAAAAGGTATCCACGAGAAATACTGTGAAAATCATATTGTTTTCGAACGTCATAAGTCATAACAAAATATTTACCTACATAAAAAAGTTGTCACTTTTTATTTTGGTATAATTTGATATTTTAAAGAATTTAATTTGTAAACTATTTAATTTATGCATTTGAATAGGTTTGGTAAGTTATTTTCATTTTCTGTTGTTTCAGATTGCAATATTTCAGTTTCCAACTACAATAAAAAAATAAATCATTGTAAACGGGATGATACATTTAAAAATGACCATAGAAAAACAATGACTACCTACATTTTACACCAAATATTTATAAAAGAGATTTACAAAACTAACTTCATTCGATCATGTATTAGGATAGATACGCCTTAGTCGTAGAAGTAGTGGATTTAATGATTATCTAGACGGGAAGAGAGGAAAGGTACACAAACAGAAAACTTGGCAGTGCCGTACCGTATGGAAGGGGATATATATTGTTAATTACTATAAAATGCTAGATGAAAGCGGTTGGACATGATTTTAAAAATATTGTTTTATAGCGTATATTTTTAACTTTCAATGTAAGAATAGTATTTCACAGTATTGTGATACTACATAGAACATGCACAGGCTTGTCCTTTTGTATATTATTTATTCAATTTTATAGGATTATTAATTTTGTACTTAATTTGTATACATTTTGAGTAAATATACCTACTATAAAACTTGACTTATGAAGAAGAAAAGAAACTAGAAAAATATTGTCAAGAACCCGTTTTATATGTGAAGCAAGAATATTAAACATATTTCTGACTACATACCTTCCTTTATGAAATAAAATAAAGACCAATTAAAGCATTTTATTTATCAACCAAAAATAGTTATACACAAATACGAAGATTAATGAACTTTATTATTTTCAAAGTACTGAAGCAAAATTTTGCCATACACAAGTTATAGGGACCAGAAGAAAAAATGGCATTGTGTTTGTTTTCTATTTTACCAATTCTGACAAATTTAAAATGGGTAGCGTCGATTGAAATTTTCTGATAATATATTTTTAAATACCTATAATAAGAATTCCTAATTTAAAATGGTTTTATTTGGATAAATGGCAATTTTTTAAAAATTTAAGTGCAAATAAAAACCTACAATAAATAGGTACATTTTATTTAAAAATTAAGTTCCATGTTAAATATAATTAAAAATAAACTTCAAAATTTAGATTTTAAGACTTTATTTTATTTTTTTTTAAATAATATTTAAAGTAGTTCATTCGTAAAACGGCTTTCCTAAAGAAGTCAATAAATATGAAATATAAGGTTAATGAAAGTGTCCTTTACGTACCTAACTAAAAAAAATGAATATTTTGACCATTTATGAAACGAGATATTAACAATCAAATTGTGCATAATTTATTTGAAACATGTACACAAGCAATTCATTTATTTTAAGATATCTCGAAAACGGTTCTTACTATATTTTTTAAAAACTAATGTAATGTAAATCAGGAAGTTATAAAAATTTTTAAAAAACGCTGATTTTTTTTACTGTTTTGGTAAAAAGATATAGATTTTTTTAAATAAAAATATTTTTAAAGCAGTTGGCGCACAGTGGGGTACAATGATTACAACTTGACAACATTGTTAGTTCAGAATCACTGAATTACACTCGATCAGCTAAGAGGTTGTTATAACCTCGTGATGTGTTTTTGAAAAATTAATTTGTGTATTAAAACTTGTAATTAGTGGTTAAACAAATATAAAAAACATAAGTCACAATACTCATATAATTAATAAAAAATATATTGAAATGTAGATTTTATGGAATTAATTAAAAATTTGTTATACAAGATACTTTTATTATTTGTTTTTGTTTACCCTTTCAGGCATAACTCGTCTTTTCCCGGAAAGGGTCCGGCAGCCTCCCTCAATAAGGCTTGATTCCAGACCCTTGCTCTCTCAATTAAATTTGGGTTCCAGCTACTGGCTCCCCTAGTCAGGCTTGGGTTTCAGCCTGTCTTTTTCTTCTCTGGGGTTTACAACACGGCAATGCAGCCTCACGGGCTTATTGTACCACTATCTGGATTCCTTGCTCCTTCATATTTATTTAACTCATGCATTTTACTCATACATTCCACCGTACAAATGGGCCCTAAGCTCGGCAAGTTCGATCACTCATTTAGACCGTGACCGGTCCAGTCATTGCTGCGTCTGTGATCGTTGTTTTGAATACATTTCACAGTGAACCAGGCGTCTATGTAATATCAAACCAGTTCTTTTTTTGTTTTAGTTAGTAACTAGGAATTTTTATTTTTTTTTTTTGTCCATGCAAATATGCTGATTTAAGGTAGAGTTCTGGTGTTCTATTGACTAAAATACTTACGATAAAAGATGGATGGAGTCCGGTAGCTTACCTGAAACAAAAAAATAAATAAAATAATTAGATAAGATTATTAGAATTAAATCACTGTTAGTGCGATTGTTATTATATTTTAGAAGAGTCTATTAAAAAGTGGTTTTTAGTTTTATATCACATTCTTCATATCAGAGGATCACAGGCAAAAATGAGAGAACGTGACAAAGAAAAGAATCAAATCATTTCATGGTATTATAAAGAGTACTGTCAAAGGAATCTCTAACAGGATGTAATGCATGTCATTTAATATGGGATGTATCCTAAAAAGAAATGGAAATGTTCTGCGCATCCTAATAGTCTTGTTGCATCAGTTGGATATTTTGAATTGGAAATTGTCTTTTTGGAAATATTCGCAAATGCAAATATTTATACACATATGTATGTACGTATACATTTATTGTAAATAATTCCAGATATATTTCTATGTGACTAAAAGCGCAATATTTTATTGAGACTCATTTCAATTATGTGGTAGGGTGGCGGCGATCTAAATTACCAACGAAATTTTTATACCAGCTAATCTATAATAAATGTTCAAACCAAACCAATACCACTAATCTGATTTACAGGTCGTAGACCTAAGAATATGATTTATACCTACATTATCATTAAGCGTACCTACACCCGACATAATTTCAGATCCATTATATCCATGTCGTTAGATTCATTAGATAGATACAGATAGAAATAGGACAGAAATTCTAATTATATTAGAAACCTACTTAATTAGAAAGGTCTGGACAAGACAGTTACTCATCAGTAAGCAATAAGATAACAAGACTGGTTTTTATTTAGGACTTACACAACTTCTAAATAGGTGACATATAAAAGCGAAACAGGTTGCTGCTTAATTATTTTAATCACATGAGTCAGTTGAATATAAATAGATCGAAATGTTAAATAAAAGAGAAGATTATTTTAAATTGATAGTGAAATTTGATCGTTATACAAGGTGATTTATTAATATTAATTGAAAATTTAAGGTGGCAATTTTAGGACAAAATATGAAAAGAGTTACTATAAATATATCCGAAAATTCGTAGTGTCCTACATACAGAGTGTTACAGTTTAAAAAAATTGTTGATTTCAATAACATTTTCACAATTTGTTGATATTTTAACACTTTTACTGCCCAAACTTTAATTACAATTAAACGCTCTGGTCTGTCGATATACGATCATTTAGAAGTTTGGACGTTCATTAACGTCATAGGCCATACACAATAGAAATATAAAATATTTATGTTGGGAAATAACTACTGTGTATACAGAAGTTAACACAGAATCAAGAAAAAAATATAGACCTCTATAAGATATCAAGTCAAATAAGTATATTATACCTGCTGGATGACGGTGAACGTATATATTCATTTATCGATCAAAATAATCAAGTACTTCACGGACCAGGAGACTATAACCTCCTGCCTACAGAACGTATTTTTACTTTTAAATGTCACTATAATTTAAATTAGAGTTCTAGACCGCGTGTATAAAAATATTAAAAAAAATCCTTCCCCAGGAAAATGGATTTTCTCTATGTCCCTTCAATAGTACTTTTGCGGTAAATGCAAAGTTTCTAAATATTTTTATGCCCTTTTAATAGTAATTTCGTACTTAGTGTAGCTACAATAAATAAGAGAAATATAAACAATTTTATTAAAAACAAAAATATTTTCATGACAAACTAATTTAAAGAAAATACAGTAAGTTAAAATAGTACCTATGTAATGCTTCAAATTTATTATTAAGTAGAAAATTAAGACCTTAAATCAAATAAAATTTTTATTCTGGTATAAAACTAAACTAAATGTTATAAATTGTTATAAAAAAGTGCACAAAATATTTGAAATACATATTTGAAAATAATCAATGACGATGAAAATTAGAGAAACAATTTCTGTCAGGCACAAAACACAAGTAAATATTGCATTTGAGGCAATAGACTTTGTTCTTCATAATACATCCACTTTGACGACATCTTTTTTGAATTTGGCTATACTTTGGTAAATGATCAGCCTTCTGCTTACTTTTTGTTTTTGATGGAATTGCAGTGATAAATGTCTTTCGTTTTTTGTGTCTCGGTAAGAGTTCTTCATAATCATCGTCACTGTCGCCATCTGATGAGAAAACATTTTCATTTATGATCGACCTCAAGTTTGTATTCACGCAGCTGTAATATCTTCTTTTTCTTATTTTTTCTTCTCTTTGCTTATATTGCAGATATGAGTTGACTATGGAAATGTCTATTAAATGAAAAATCATTCGCACTGTCCATTTCTTAGTCCTATTACGAGCTGGGCATACTGCAAGCATCCTATCACATAAATCCCCCCCCATGTTTGCGTTATAAATTTTTATTACTTCTGGCCTTTTCACCCTTTCATATATTTTTCTTTTTTTTTTTGACCATATGTCACATTCATCCGTTAGATAATTCACTCGATATCATGAAAACAGGTTTACTATCCATCCAATGTGTTTTTGCTATCTTTCCACCATCCCGAATTTTCTTTTCAATCGTGCCTCTTAGTTTTTTTAAAAACTCTTTTTCATTTTCAATCACACAATTCTTTGGAACCCTATTTCTCATAATTGTTCCAGTTCCATGAAATCCTCGATTTATCAATTCATCACAAAGTTTAATTGTGCTAAAATATCTGTCAAATAGATGTGATGACCTGGAACTAAGGAAGAAGTCAGTTGCAATACGGCAGCTTCACCAAGTCCAAATCCTGCTTGTTTTAACTCAGGGACAGTTGTTTCGCCTTCGTAAATAATCATATCTATTATAATTCCCCCAGGAGTGGCCAAAACAAATATTTTTAACCCGACAGGATAGGGCTTGTTTGGAACATATTGTCTTGTGTCACATCTTCCACTAAATGGAGCTATCATTTCATCCATTGATAAATCTTTTAAACGCTCCTGGCCGAGACAACCTTTTCTGACTCTTTCAAATAATGGCCTTATTTTCAAAATTTTTCCTTCATCAGAGATTTCTGGATCATATACCACTTTCAAAGAGGTTCTTATTTGATAAAAACGAGACCGAGCCTGTGATATAAGAGGCACCTTAAATTTTTCACACCAATACATATCGAATTGAAAATATTGTAAACAAGCCACGACCATAGTAATACCTAAGAACACTTTAAGTTCTTTTAGTGTGAGTGCTAAAGATTTACCTGTTTTTAGAACCTTAGTTCTATTCGTGCACGCAACAATTTCTGTGAGACTATCGTTATGCAGATATTGTACTAAAAATCCTCTAAACTCCATTGTTAATCAAATATTGGCAAATATGGAAGTTGTACAAAAATAATTTTTTGTGACTCAAATATTTTGTTTCCATTCATCGTTCTGCTCAGAGTGGTCACTTTCACCATCAGAAGACAGAGATGAACTATGACTTCTGCGTCTTGATACTTCATAAAGTGAATCACTATCTGAGTCATCGCCACTAAACTCACTGTCGCATGTGTAAACATTTCAATATTTGTTCATCCGTTAATCCTAAAACAAGAAAACAGAGTGTTTTATTACTATTAAAAGTACATTTAAAAATTGTGCATCCAGGCATTCACGAGATTATTACTTTCAAAAGTACATAAAAATGAAATTACCACTATAGAAAAAATCATAGACTATTTTACAAAAAAATTTGTTCTGGTTTGAATTTATACTATTACAAGTCTTTTGAAATGATTTTAATTCCAAAACAAACCAGTTGTATCTAAGATTTCTTTGGATACACTTACCTTGTTTACGTGTATCACGAAAACATCTCGATTCTGATGCCATTTTTATACGACTGATTTTATATTTAAATTATTTTAAAACTGCCTTAACTAGTAATTGTTTGACTACTACCATTTAGATGTCACTACAATGAAATTTTTTGTATAGGTTCCATTCTTTTAGTCAACTTGTTTAAAACCTTATGTCCTTCTCCATAGATTACTAATGTGAATAGATGGGAAACTCAATGGTAAAATTCTGAGTCGATGTGCTGCCATCTATCAAATTGGAGTGGTACTAAAATTCAATATGGCCGCCACGAGCGGCCTTTTTATAATTTAACTTTGTAGTAGCGCAAAAATGTAATGAAGAAAATCAAATAAAGCAAAAAAATATTTGACTAGTTTCAAATCATAAAACAACCATATTGACTGTTTTGTGATTTGAAACTGGTCAAATATTTTGCCAACTTATATCTTTATTTGATTTTACTTCATTATATTTTTGCATTAATTTCAAACTTGAAATAAAATGCATTTTTTTTTTATTACAGTAAATTAACGCCGCATCATATAATTTGTCTATTTAAACATGGAAATACCCTAAACAAATATGCATTTACACCATTTAAATAATTAAATATAACACAAACCTATCAAAAATGTTTTCTGTAACAAAATCAGCATATATAAGTGCTCAAGACCTTTGTAAAAGTTTTGCGACTTGGAGTGGCAAATAAGTTTGAAAAAATTGAAGTTGAAGCATCATCCTTTTTTACTATCGAGGCAAATTTGAGTGTGGTTAAAATTTGCCATAGGGTTATCGAGTCAACTAGTTAGGTTGAGGAGCATTTCTTCATCCGATAATTGTTTTCTTGATTCGTTTATACAGCACTTGTAGTTATCAAATTTGTATTCATCATGTGGGCACTGTGATAAATGAATTTAACTTTTGAGCATAAATTAAACTTACACACGTTTGGCCCTTAAAGATTTTAGGGCGTTTTCTTGTTTGATGTCAATGGCATTGAATCAGTTTTTGATATTGATGGCTGAGGCTCAAATATTTCATCAATCGATAGGGTATTTTAGAGGGCCAACATTTTCTTTACAATGATCATTTAAAAACTGAAAACAAAAAGAAATTTAAATACCAAACCAATTATTTTAGCACTGAATCAAAAACAAGTTTGTAAATAGTACTTACCATTGATGCCAGTACAACATGCATTTTTCTTAAGACACTTATTACAAATTGTTTGGTTATCCTTAATATGACGACCTCATATTTAATACGTGGTATAAATTGCATCACTACCAATATCTGGGAGTGCTTTATTGTTCGTTGCTGAAATCCATGTTCCCATCTCATGAAAACATGCTTAAAATTGGAAGGTATTGAAAAATAAATCTAGATGAATCAAAATCAAGTTTGTAGTTTTGTTGACAAGCTGACAACTTACATGACATTTCGATACGAGCGCCATCCCGTTAATGGGAGTGATACTAAATTACCGTCCTCATGTTTTTCCATTTGAGTTACCAGCCCCTGTCCTTCTCGAAGTACTTTGGCGGTCAGGAGGAAGGACCAAGCTGTGCTGATAGAACTGGTTCTTTTTATAGTGTTTCAAATATAGCTCATATAATTTACTAATGCAAATGCAACACTCTGTACCTATTCAACGACAACAACGATACCAACCTATTATATACACATACAGGGTGCCCCCCATCAGTGCGTAATTGATCAATATTTTTTTATTATTGAAGATAAAAAGAAATGTTTAATATAAAGTGTGTATTACCATCAGTGGTGGCTTTTGCATAAGTGCAGTAGAGATACAGAACTGCCAAAAAAATGCAAGTATGTTATCTACATTTCACAGAAAATATGTAAGACATTCTAAAATATACGTAAAATAGATTTTATGAATAATTTCCTAATTTTAATTTAATTTCAATCAATAAATAGAAAATAGTTTGTGTGCACTGCACCGCTTGGGCTGCTCACGCTCTTTGTCTCCTTTACTCGTTCTATAATAGTCTTGATAGACATATGCCAGTAAAAAAAGAATAATTAACAAGTTAGTGAGTAGCGAAACTTTTTTGACAGCAGTATTTTGATCAAAACTTTAAAAAAAGGTGTATTGAACAATTGTACTTTACAATTTTTAAAACACTTTTTTTATTTTTGATCAAAATACTGTTGACAAGAAAGTTTCGTTGTTCGCAAACTTGTTAATTATTCTTTTTTAACTGGCATATGTCCATCAAGAATACTAGAACAAGTAAAGGAGACGAAGGGCGCTAGCGGCCCAAGCGGTGCAGTGCATACAAACTATTTTCTATTTAATGATTAAAATTAAATTAAAATGATGAGATTATCTATAAAATCTATTTTATGTATATTTTAGAATGTAAAATAATTTTTGTGAAATGTAGACGAGATCTTGCATTCTTTTGGCAGTTCTGTAGCTCTACTCCACCTATGCACCAGCCGCCACTGATTACCATATTTTACAATTACTATTCTTAAGTATACACGGTAGTCTATAAATGAGGGAAGAACCAAACATAATTTTTTTAAACCAAACACCCTGTAGGTAGTTATAGACCGGGAACCGAGAGGGTTTTTGCATGTATCATAGGCCCCACGCCGAGGCTTTGGGGGTTGATAGACAACAATATTCCCCACTTTGAATTCCCGGTATGGCACCCCTAAAATGTAGCTTTTAGGGAGGTGAATTTTCAAACGTGTAATTAATATCCATGCCACTGGATCATAGGCCCCACTTTGGTTCTTGTTTTATGTCATCAAGGAGGTTGCCAAATATGCAATACCAATATGGCGTCACTCTAGGTCCGCCATACTTTATAATTTATTCACTGTGGATATGGATCATGGGCCCCACGCTGTTGTTTCGTGATCTTTGTTAATAATGAACTGTAGAACAAAGATTTCAAAACGCCATACCTCTGGGGCGTCGCCAAGTGGCCGCCATAATGGAGCAAATATGTAATGTTTAGCAATGAACATGTATAGCAGGCCTCACCATGAAAATGTGTCTTCTTTGTTAATTTTGATGTCCTAAATAAAGTTCTAATAGCACCATACCGATGCGATGTCGCTAACGTTAGATATTGGCTTCCAAAGTTGTCACATTTTCATAGGTTAAGTGCCATACCTGCATTTTTATCTGTATTTTAAAGTATAAAGCACGAATATATCACTGCCATACCCATGGCATATCGCTAAAGTGCACAATTAATCGTATAATTGGCAGGTCTTCATGCAGTAAACGGATGTGATTATATCCCAGCTTTGTACTGCAAAGAAAAGAAGAAGCCGTTGCAAATTGTTTTGCAGAATGAGGAATTCCAAGATGCTTTTATTAACAACGAGAAGAAAGCTTTTCCGTGCTTGAACGATTTGTGTGCAGGTTTGTTTTTTATTCCTCTATTATATAGAATAATTCGTACGAAACGTTATGCATTCTTGCAGGTTGTATGATAAAACCACATCAACGTTGTTAACGAAGTCAAATTGGCCTTATTTTTAAAATCGTACATCATAGGGAGTGATAAATAATTATTCAACAAGACATTACGAAACTTTAATGCCTCGACTCTTTCAGCATGCAAAGCTGAGTTAAATCAACAACTATTGCGAGTATCTTACGTTGCCGACATTTGGTGTAACGCCCATTTGAAAGTTCCAACAGTGCTTGCTTCCCATCATGGTTGGGATTTGTCTGATGATGGCTATACTTTCAAGTGGTTTGACGGTGAAGCTATGCCAAATACCATAAATGAAATAGTTCTGCTAAATATTGAGACTAAGGAGCGTAACCAAGAGGAACAGGAAACGACACAAACCATCGAGCAAGGTTAATGTAACGTTTATTTATTTTATTAGTTTATTTATTTAAAACACCATTTACATTTTATTAATAACGTACTAATTAATTTATTTAATACTTTGACACTATTATAACTTATAATTCTAATTTATTTATTACAATTTGTCTTTACTGTCCAACACTTGAATTTTCCCGTCCGTCGACAAACTCGCGCTATTTATATAAAGCCAGCTCTGTAGCAAAACTCTCTAGGCGACCCAGAACGATCGGGAGCTGCCTCTCTATGACTCATACGCCGCAAAGGGATCACTCCGACAGTTTCTCGAAGCGGTGCGTTTGTTTTTATATAACCAGCGCTAGACTTAATACCGCGGGTAAGGAGTAAACAGAGATGGCTTCGGTTCACAATAATATAAAATAATATTACATATTTCTAAAAAAATACCTAATATATTTATAACTTATATTTAGAAGACAAAATTTTTAATAACAATAATAATATTAATAATAAACGAATAATGACTGAAATTAACGGATCAATGCATTAACAGAAACAGCTAGTTCGGACGAAAAAACAAATGAAGATGAGGATGCCGACGCTTCATCTGATGGCATTGCAGAAACGGATGTGGATAGATTTGACTACAATAGAGACCTATCAGATGACGTTTCATTTTTTAAAAATAAATTTCAATTTCATTGTTTACTTTATATCTTTATATATACCAGATTATGTGTCGTAGCCCTGTAGGCGCGTTTTAATTTTATAATTATTTTATTTTGTATATGTATTTTTGTGTAATATTAATAATTCTAGTTGATCAGTATTTTAACGATAAACTTTAATGATTTCATCATGAGTGATCTCGATAACCTATAAGTACGCATTTTCAGAAAAATGGAAGCATTTTAGATCATTTTGTCCGCCATATTAGATCTGGCATTTTTAATCTTGAATATGTTTTCATCAATTTCACAAGTAATGGCCACAAAAACCTGTAAGTATATACACATTTTTAGAACAATCTACGAATTTGGACATTTTTCTAAAAGGAATTACAATATTTTGAAATCATTGTTAGACACGTTATCAATATCGCCTACTACCGTTGGATTGGTGGATTACCTCTGTACCTCCATTGCTATTATTATACCAACGAAATAATAATAAATCATTTGTTTACTATGATTATTATGTTTAAATGATTAAACATTTTTAATATAATGCTACTTTTGTGAGTTGACGTAATATGCTCACAAACGTATTGGTAATACTTTGTACACGCCACAGATTTTTTGTGATTAGGAGTATCCAGTTAAAAGGTTGATGACACGCTTAGTCTCTCTAAACGCATAATTTCTCCTTAACAGAAAATATCAATGCCACAAATTTATAGTTAAAGATTAATTTTTTTATGAAGTAATTAGATAATATTAAATATAATGTAATTTATAGCATGCGAGAACAATGATCTTTTTCAAACAAAAGTACCTATAAAGCGTGTCAATATTTTTTGTAGGTAATACCGTGACAAAGAACTTAAAATACAGAAAGAATAGATTTTAGGTGAAAGCCAAGTCAATAGAGCAAACTAGTAATCTTTGGCTGGAACTTGCATAATTTTAAATAGTATTTTTTGTTTTAAAATTATAGGATGTATTTTACTTGTACAAAAAATTCAATTTCCATTAATTCAATTTATTCAGGTCGCCAAAACCTTATGAAACATCCATATAGTGCATTTGACAAATGTTTTCAATATTTTTAACCTGAAAAGACTAGCAAACAACAAACACCTGTAACTTAGATTCAGAGATAAATTTAAAGTCAGACTTTGTGAATTTATTAATAATATAGAAAATGATCAGTGATCGTTTAGAACCTTAACATTTAATAATTTAATTGTTGTTAGAAGAAAGTATAATAATTTCTCGTGTTATAATTAGAAATATCTCTATTTCTATTTCCACCTTCTCTGCAGAAGAGAGTGTATCAGGTACTCAACGTGTTCATCAAGAAATTTAATAAAGATCTAAAATATTTATTCTGTACCAAACAAATAACAAATAGAAACAAAACACTTTTTTTGCGCTCCGTAATTTCGATGAAGAAAAAATTGAAACTTGCAAACATCAAGCTGATTTATTTGCAGTAGAAGCACAGCTTATACAATACAGCTGTTAGATTCGAGGGAAAAGTCGGGCCCGGATTAAACAATTTTTTTATTATTGAAAAAATTGAAAACCTTGGCGTAATAAGGTTGGTTACATGCCATATTAAGTAAGTTTTGGGAAATTAAATTTTTAATTTGTTTTAAATCTGTCAAATATAATTAGAAACATTATTTAAATATAAATATTACGAAAAATAGCACATCTTTCGGATTAGAGGTAAAATAATTTGTATGTGGCTAGTAAAATCCTCGTTAACAAATGTTTTGAGCTAAAACAGTCACTTCACGACAAATTGTGACTTGGATCCTTTTTACACCAAGGGCTTCAATTGTTAAAGAATTGTGTCACGCTCGTGGATGCAAATCAAGTGGTACCCGTGTCTCTGGCAAGTGTTACTCTTCGCGCAAAGGGTTTATACCTAGATAAACGAATGCTTCGACTGAGGTCTGAGAACTCTATGGTATTTTGGAATTATAAAGAATTTGTGCTTTTATTTTAACAATATTGGTTATATTTAGATGTATTCTTATTAATTGAAATACAGATTTGTAGAAGTAATACTTTGACAGTTTTTATTAATATAATATATTCAATTTTTATCTGACCATACCGAAGTAGGGAATTTTGAAACTTTATAGTAATGTGAAATTTGAATTACAATATTACACGATATTACATAATTAGTACTTCTTTTAGGTAGGTACTAAATTTGTACTTGGAGAAAGTAATATCGATTTTTATAAGAAAACTTGAAAAGTAAATTAATTTAGTTCCTATTTCTGATGTAAAACTTAAGTTTTGGTTTAAACCAAGAAAACAAATAAATTAAAGTTTGTTCAACAAGGGTGGATATGATAGCAATATCACACAAAGACGAAGTTTGAGCACGACGTCGTATGCGGAGTACTCAATCGTCTGATTGTGATATGAACAATCCACTCGATATGGTCAGTATATTTTTTCTACGACCCACTAACCAAAATCTACAAATTTCAAAAATTATTTTATGTTATTTAGACAAAATAACTAATTTTAAAATAATTTACAAAGTTGACTAATTTATAAAATAAAATTAACATGAAAAATTAATTAGTCCTCGGCCTAGATTCGATCCCGGGCTTTTCGCGTGGAAGGCAGATGCTCTGTCCTCATCTTCACCGAAACTTTCAGGACTTTAGTTTTAATACTCGTAATTAAATTAGTATCATGTAGTTTGATTAAAATTTATTTTTTTTAAATGTGGACACAATAAAAACAAAAATGCTATTATTTATCGAGTCTACACAAAAATTTTAATGTATATTTAATATCAATAACTAAAATATATATTGACAATTAGTTTAACAGAATTGTCACTTATTTAAAAAATTTAAATAATAGGAGTTGGGTGACCAAAATATGAACTGTGATTTGTAGATTTAATTTTGTTAAAGTATTCTCACTACCTAAAATGGATATGAAATATATTCGTAGTTGAACGCAATAACATAATTTTTCGTTTTGTAGTATGTGCATAGATTGGCTAATATCCATGCACAGATTACAAAACGAAAAAGTATGCTATTGCCTTCAATTGAACGAATATATTTCATATCCATTCTAGGTAGTGAGAACACTGCAAAAAAAATAAATTCGCCAATCACCGTTTATATTTTGATCAACCGACTGCTATTATTTTTAAAATTTTAAATAAATGACAATTCTGTCAAACTAATTGTCAGTATATTTTTTAGTTATTGAGATTAAACATACAATAAAATAAGTTATTCTTTTGGAAAACGTTAGCATGGATGACTAAAGGGTATTGGGTTAATTAATTCTAAAAGTGTGGTACAAATGTTATTTTTTGTAGCCAATTCTTCAAAATTATTTTGAAATATCTTTTCAATATTGAATATTAGTTCTACAAATTCATCATTTGACAGTTGCAGATTTCCAAATGTATCTGGATTGGCGTTATCATATGCCTTTAAAAAGCAATAAAAAGAAAAATCATCTAATTCAACGTGATCTTTGTTATATTTAAGACAGGTATCGCAGAGGAGTGGATCCGCAAGGCTTTTATTAAAAGGTAACCACACACATACCTGATAAAATTTTTCTGTATCAATTCGTCTTTACAATAATTTAGGGTGTTAATAATTTTATCATAAAATAAAATACAAGGTGTTCCATTTAAAAAACATACATTTTAATTTGCCAGGCAAAAACGTGACACCCTGTATATCCAAAGATATTTTTAAAATATGTAGGTATTTTTCAAATCCATATAACTTTTATTTAAAACTTTCTTGCGTGTCTACAACAAAATAATGAATAATAACGCACTAATGGGATACCCTGTATAAATTATATTTTTAACAATGAAAATGTCTTATAATGTGGTACTTATCGGTTTGGGTCCTTGGGAAAACTAAATGTTTTCTTGCAGGTATAACCCTTATTAAAACAGCTTTTGACTGCACAAACAGAATGATGTCTTTTTTTTTTCACTCATTCTACTCATAGCTAAAGAGTCACCAAAATAATAACAGTACCTTTAACTCAAACAAAATCAACGAAATTATAGGCTCCACGAACTTATACAATCAACGAAATTATAGGCTCCACGAAATTATACAATCAACGAAATTATACGCACGACTCAACACCTTACCTAAATACGCTTCTGAACACCAAAACCGTCTTTTCCCTTCGAAGGCGGAGCTTAAGCGATGCGCGACGAAATCAACGCAAACCGTTGCCGCCAAGAGAGTGTTTTAGCTGTATTGTATAAGCTGTGGTAGAAGCACAGATTAACCACAACAGATGCGAAACCCGGCAAAAGATCAAAGGATTTTGAAATAAGATTTCTATG